GTATGCGAGGGGTGGGAGACAGATAGGATATAGGAGGAAGGATGCAGGACACTCTGCCTGATGGACCGGGTCTTTTCATTAAAATGCATTAAAAACTCATTGCAAACAGTCTTTGAGGTCTCAACATATACAGCACTAGAGGGATTAATAACCGCATTAATGGTCTTAAACAGTACTCTAGGCTGATGACTATTCTCCGAGATAATGTCGGATAGATATTGAGACTTAGCTGCATTCACAGCTCTTTGATATGCCAGACGAGTGTCTCTCAAAATGCCTAGTGAGATTTGCAGACCGTCCTTCCTCCATCTACGTTCTGCCTGTCTACAGTGTCTCCGATGGGCACGAGTAACATCATTAAGCCAGGGGAGAGTTGCTTCTAGGTCTTTTCCTCCTGGCTGGACCAATAGCATCCATAATCCGGACACAGGTGGAGTTGAACTCAGATAGGATGGTCTCTGGAGATGGCGGGACATGCTGTATTCCAGGGGAGTGAGGACCCGAGGCCAAAAAGGCAGCAGTGAAGTCCGATGATGTAGAAGATGTAATCATCCTGCGGTTCTGGAGGGGGGCCTTCGGGCAAACAATAGACTCGGGGCCCCTGAGCCTCAAAACAAATGACAGAATGATCAGAAATGGCTAAATCGAAGACATCATTAATGGAAACCACTAGGCCTCGAGAGATAACCAAGTCAAGTGTTCCTCCCCGCTGATGAGTGGGGGACGGAACCGAGTGGGTAGGATCAAAAGAATCTAAGAGCGCATTAAAATCGTTGGCTAATTGATCCCCAGGGCTCTCGACATGAATGTTAAAATCTCCACAAATCAGGAAGTAGTCAAATTGTGGAACATATGTTGATAAAAAATCTCCAAAGTCATTAATAAAATCTTTTGATTTGGGAGGCCGGTATATGAGTGCACAAACAATGGGATGATCCTGAGTCAGAATAAAAGGTAAAATGTCGAAACTGGGATAGATTTTGATCGGGATACGGTGACATTTAAGAGTCTGCTTAAACACAGACACTAAGCCACCCCCTTTCCCAGTGAGCTGAGGGGAATTAAAAAATAAATAATCTGGGGGTAGCAGTTCTGAGAAGACACAATTTTCTTCAGGCTTCAACCAGGTTTCAGTAACCAGGAACATATCCCGATAGTGTGTAGTGATAAAATCATTCAAAATAAACGTCTTGTTGTTAAGAGACCTGGTATTAAAAAGAGCAAGACGAAGCAGGCTTGACTTCTCCTGTGATGACTCAGCTCAGTTCAGCGGCCAAAGATTACCCAAAGCGTGTCGCAGATCAAAGATCAGGGCATCTCACCAGTCGGAAATACGGGCAGGGAGAGTCAGCGTCCCCGCCAACGGGCTGAAGGAAACGGTAGCTTTCAACCACAGTCCAACTCAAGGGGTGGAGGCCCCATTTCCTTAACTTCATAGTCCCCAGTGACGATGGTAGGCAGAATTTCAGCCTGCTGTGGATCCCAGCCCTCCTTCCGCGTTGTCACCGTCGGGGTACCTGGCACCAGAGACACTCTGAGTGCCGGAGGCACGGGGGTATCATGATAGGCGGAGGTGGAAACGACTTAGTTTGGTAAAAACGGTATCTGCTCGGGCAGCTGAACATAGAATTGCGTATTTCGAGGAGCACATGGCGGTCATATATCAAAGTAGAAAAGCCAATATTACTTAAAAACATGTAAAAGAAAAGTATAAACATGGTTACTTTGTTTACACTGGTTGTGTTTTTTACAGGCAGGGTTGCACATTTTATTTGCCATTATCTTTGCGTATATAGCCATCTTCTGTGTGCTGGGAGATTTTATTGCTCTTGTATGTTGTCGCCCTGGTGGCTGAACAGCTTACCACCACTCCTTACAATATGATGTTGATCCATCCATGTAGCCACTTTGGTTCAGCTCATTGTGTTCAGCATCATGGCAGGTTGGTGCAAAGCTCCTCTTGCAATGGCAATGAGGCCTGGAACAGTCTGTCACGGCATGATGGAGGTAGTGCCAACTAAAAAAGAGAAAAAAGAAGAGGTGCATTTTTTATTCATCTGGTATTTCAGTGTAGATGGCAACCTTTAATAAGGGAATGTAAAAATGCAAACTTTCATTTCCAGAACAGCCAGTGCTTCTGGAAGTTCAGTGTAGACAGACGGGATAGAGATGGTTAGTTGTTTATGCCAGTGTGGACAAAAACCACAATTTCACGAATAAACACTGTTTTCAAATGACTCTGTGTTATGGTTCACATGTAAACCCATGTGTACTGTGACCGAATTGCTTCACAAACCTCAAGAAGAAAGGCCACTGTCCCTGACTGATATTTGAAGTTATAAAAGAGTTTCTGTGCAACTTTGCCTTTGCAAAACTCTACTTCTTCAAAGTGCATTTCTGCCTGTGGCCAGAAAATGGAACCATGTCCTAGATGTCTTCGTGAACCTTAGACCCTGGTCAAAATTGTATTGACTATAATTTAGGCTACATGACTCTGTTCTGTGTGTCAATACCCAAGTGGATCCCAACAGTAGGGCTGCCCCCAGACAGTCGAATAGCCGACCTGTCAGTCGATTGAGACTCTTCTAGTCGGGCCTTTGTTTTTAATTATATTTTTTGTCAGACAATGTACGTTATAATAGCAGCCCCAGGCCGGTAGTTTGTTGTCTTTGCCTCATTTTGGTGTGACAAGCAACAATTTGCTGAAATGAGGGGTACACCCACTTCAGAGGTGACTCTGTCCAATACATGGATGTACATTAAAGTCAGATCTGTTTAGCAAATTACAGAATGGGGAGAAAGGGACAATAAAACCCATATAAAGGTGAGATTTGTACTTTATTAGAAGTGTTTTCAAAAATCGCTTTTACAAGAAAAAAGACTGCCGTGACGATGTGGCTAGTATTGCATAGCCTAATGTTATGTGAGTCCGGTTTGTTTACTCCATTAAAGTGCAACACTCCAGCCATTTACTGACTATTTCTGTGACATGCATCCATCTGAATGGGACTAAGAAGCCAACAAAATGCACGGGGAAAAGATTTCACTGAGGAATAATAAATAAGAGGAATCTGTGGTTAACTGATGGTTAATGTTGCAATGTGGTTAACTGATGGGAGAAGCTCAAACGTGTTGGTAAACTAGGCTATAACCATTTCTCAGAAGAAAAAAAATGCCCATAACAGCGCTGTTTCAATAGAAATGCTCATGTGCTGCCTGACTCAGTCTGACAAATCCATATGGCAGCCTCATATTATATATATTGTCAATTTAAATAGGTCACAATTCAAATACATTACTATCACCCATATATTTCTTTTATATTTAAAAAAAAAAAAAGAAACAAACAAAAAAGAAGGAACAGTCGAATAGTCGCACTGAACAGCCGACTGACAAAATCCTTAATTGGGTGCAGCCGTACCAAACAGACTCTGATGTTGTGTCATAATCATTACAAAGAAGTAATGAGACCGCGGCCATAGCTGCTTGTTAACTGGCAGAAAACATCAAGCTAATATTGTCAAAAACTAGTGAAATGCAGCGTTTCCAAAGCGCTGCAACTTGTGGTTTGGTGTGCACTTCCTTTGCAAAGGCTTATATGTAATGTTGCTGTTTTGTTGCAGAAGTTGTTGACAAGAGCAACAGAACAGCTCTGAAAGAGAAAGAAAGTCATTAAGAGCAGAAGTCTCCTGGAAGGCAAGGCTGGAGGATGGAGCACAAGCTGGAGAGAGGGGAGGGTGCAGTAGATGGTACAGTAGTGGGAACTAAGAAACCAGCATAAAGCCAGCAGGGAAGTTGGAGCCATGCTGGCCACAGGGGCTTTTCTTTTAACCGTCAGACAGGTGGCTGCAAGGAGGGAGTGGTGTAGTGACTGTAGGTGAGATCTGGAGGGGAAGGGGGGCGGTGACCCTCTCGGGTTGCTGCTGTCCCAGAGCAGTCCTGTGGGAGCTCTCCTAGCCAGTCTCTCTGTCGCTGTCTGCCCACCGCCGCCACTCAGCATGGGGGCCCTCGCCATCTCTCCACACGACAGCTCAGAAGACAACCTCACACTGGATTTGCTCATCCTCCACACAGAGCACAGAGATACAAGACAAATCACATGGTTGCTTGAGGAATGGCTGCTTTGTTGCCAGTGTGCAAATGTTAGGGTGCAACTTTAAGGCACCCAGAGAATGTTGACAGGCAGACTAAGTCACCATTAGTCTTTGTGTGTTCTCGACAGTGCTTGACAAAAATATGGAGTAATGTCAGCCTTATCCTTTCACTAATTAGACATCCACCCCTCTGGTTAAATAGGGGCTTCTAATAATTAAAAGCAACAGATTCACATTATTTTTCTTTGTAAAAAATAAATACACTTAGTGCAAACATAAAATTAAAACCTGCACACAGTTCCTGACATAAGGCTAACAAGTTGGTTTTCTCATATTTGTTCCACGTGGACTCTTAACTGCATTTTGTATTGTATTTGACCTTACTGCACTATTGTTTGCATATTTATTGGTTTTACTCTGCCTTGGTGCAAAAAGAACTCCCTATGGGACAATACAAATCTGAACTGAACTGTTTTAATAATGAACATTAGTCTGCAATAGCTTCACTTTGTGTCAACAAAGGACTGGACAGTCTTTGCAGTGGAACCAACCGTGTTCAAAGCCCTTATTTATCTGCAGCGGAGTTGAATTACAAAGCAACTTTCAAAACAGGAAAATGTTAATTGATTTCTAATCAATACAACTGCTGTGTGGGGAAAAAGCTAGGATTTCAACTAATTCAGGGAGTCTGAAAAATGAGGAGTGGCAGAGAGGAGACTTCTTAAAAAACTGGAGTCAGTCTGATTGCTCCCCAGGGAGACATTTCCACCCCAGTGTCCCACAAATGACATGTTTGTATGTAACGTAATATGCTTTCTTTAAGAGGTGACGCTCTAGTGGGAGACACATTCTTCCCAAGGGCCCTGCAGTCAAACGCCAAAAATGTGTTGGTTGTTCTACTTCATCTTTCATTTGTCAAACCTAAACATACCAGCTATGGATCATACCTGCTCAGGTGCCTAATTCCATCTGCTTTATCAAAACTGCCAGTTCACAGAATACCTGGATAGCCAACGAGAGCATAAAGGAATCATTTCATTTTACATTCATCTGTACAAATGGGAGGAATCAAATGAACTATGTTTCAAGTGAAATTGAATCAGATGGTTAATAAGGATTGGGTGGCCAAATGTATTAGTCTATGACATCAAACATCTGTGGTGCACATAAGGAATTAACAGGCAATGTGTACCGATGAAAGCTGTTTCAGTTTAAATTAGATCATTATATAAACACAGAAACTGCTTCAGGCTGCGCGCTGTTTGTTTTCTGAAGATGGCTTCTCATGCAGAATGCAACGTAACAACACACAACACGGCACCTATGTAGCTCCACATCTGCTGCATTTTAGTTCAAACCCGTAGAAAACTGACTAGAAAGCACCCAGATCCAGAATGAACACAAAAGATACTCTTTATAAATCATTGTACCTGATGCACCTCTGACAAAAATAGAAGGGAAGCCACACAGGCACCCGATTAGAGGCAAAACAAAGCAGAGACGACCATCTTGCCTTTACATTTCACTTCTAAGACAAGGGACTTGTTCAAATTTAATGGACCCCCAGAAAGACAAACGTTCGATTGTCTGCTGTTTGTTGGCATTAATTTATTGTTTATCTATAGACATAACCTTTTTTCACTTGCACACAGGGAAGTAAATTACAATGAACCTCATTTTTAATTCCACAGTACGAACCGCTTCTCTCCCCAACTACGCTCATTACACTGGTTACATTATGACATTAGTTTATATCATTCTGGCTTCAGTTTTCAGGAGGAAATTAACTTTAACAGCGGGAAACATCAGAAGCACAATGGCTTTGTTAAAAGGTATGTTCTTGCATCATACAGTATTGAGCATTCACAGGGATTCATCAGTACACAAAATGTAGTGTATGGCCGTTTCCTTATACAGTTAAATATGCAAGTCATAAATTACTTTGAATGTTAATAATTTTAAATTCTATATGATGTATTGCACACATAAGACACATGTTGAAACCACTAATGATCACTATTATTAACCACCTGATGACCCCAAACAGGGTCGAATGTTACTTTTACTCATATCAGAGATAATTCGAAATGCGTGCCGTGTTAACAAAGCCTCACTCCATCAGTAATCAGAAAGATAACAATCACATCCTCTGTTAAAGGATTAAAATAGTGTTGCAACTAATTATCTTCATTGTTTTGCTCTATAAAATATCAGAAAGTGGTGAAAAATGCCAACAACTTCCCAGAGCCCAAGGCGATATCTTCAAATTGCTTATTCATTTGAACTACCAGTCCAAAACCAAAGATATATTTATAAAAATAAACGGTAAATGAGAGAAAAGCAGCAAATCTTGACACCAGACCAGTCTGAACCTTAAACAATGAAGAAATTATAGAAACTGGCAATTTTCTGTTGATTGCCTGAACCAATAATCAACACAGAATAAGTCGATGCACATGTGCACACAGTTTGTGTATTTTGCCTCCTTGTAACATTTCAAATCTGCAGCAAATAAATATTGTTTCTTTGAGGAAAATCTAGATTGATAGATGGGCTGGCATTTTGTGACACGGCAATTTGGCATGGAATGGCGCACTGTCACTAAGGCCCAGTGATCAAAGGAGTGACAGGGGTCAGCGGGACGGTTCACAGTCTTCACCAGCGCTTCAGAATCGCTGCATATTTTTCCACCTTATCCCCTGCTGTGTGAACTCTGGAGGTCTGACTTTTGGCTGCAGACAAACCATTTCTGATTTAGATGCTAAATTCACATTTGATTTCTAACTTGATGCTAAATGATTATTTCTGTAGTGCTCTTTTCAGACAACTTCCCATTTACTATTTATTAATACAGTCCCACGGTGCCATTTTGTTTGGAATATGCGTTGACAGGGTTTGAGTTTCTGTAGGCAGTGCCAAGTGC